TGTTTTTCCACCTGCTTTTGAAGCCATTTTCAATATAAATAGAAGCTTACGTATGCATAGAAGCGGAAACATAGGAAATTATAAGCCTTCTTTTTTATTTAGTGGAGCAAACCTAATAATAAATCCTTCAAACATTATTCTCTAAAGTTTGTCTATAGTGTTACACACCTATTGCTGATACATATTTAGTTTGCATATTTATAAACTTACATTAGCCAAATAAGTGTTGTTGTACGACTTGTCGCTTTCGCATCCACACTCGTCACTGAAACTTACGTGTTTGATACAAAGCAATCCAACCTTTTTCTATTTGTTCTACAATCGCGCAGCGGAGCATGTTGTAATCCTTTGTAATTCGCGAACATAACATTTTTTTTAATTGTCATTTCTAAATCTGCATAAGGTTAGGTAATACTAAGGCAGTTTGCTTATGTTTGTGAATATTTAGTTCCTATGAATTACATAATGTCACACTACGCTAAAAGTGGGTACAATGGATTTTGTGAGGTTTTTTGGCAAAATTTTCCCTTTCCCGAATTCAAAACACATACATCCAGAATCTATCTAAAGTAATGCGCTGTGTTGCTTTGTAGCATGGGGTAATGTTTGGTAGAGGAGTCGTCCTTGTTGAAAGTTAAAGAGTGCAAAAGAGTTTGTGAAGCAAAATAACATCGTGGATGTGCTTTCCACATCTTATTACGCCCTAACAACCTAGAGCACAATAGAGAAATAGATGTTTCACTTCATTGGGGATTCGCGATTTGTGAAGTAATTTGCACTCTGCCACTCGCCTTCTCCGCATCTTCTCCCTTTATACAACCCCTCTAGACCCTTCTTGTGACTGTCACAAGCCTTTCTTCACCCGAACAAAGAGAGTGTTCCAGTTGCAAGTTGTTTACTAACGGAAGGGACTTGCGTTACTGCAAACTCAAGGCTGTAGGTGTAAGGTGTAAAGGGTTTTTTCTACTATTAAGTGCGTCTTGCTGCGATTGATTCGCGATCTGCTTAGACGATTTCTGTATATTTACTTGTTCCGAGTTTTGCAATAACAACACATTTCTTCCAGATATCCTATTCACACACAAGTTCGCTTCAAAAAGATAAATATCATCAATATAACTCTACTTTTTAGTCTAACTATACAAAGCTGTTCACTCAGTCGCTCAAGGCGGAACAGTTGCTTAGAATGTTTTCACACTCTACTAAGGTGTTTGGGTCCAATGGCTTGTAAGTCTATTGCTGATGTTTTTCACATCATTCATCAGGGAGAATGATGCGCTGTCTAAGTTATGAATACAAGAATACGCTACAAGAATACGCATCTATAATA